TTAATTTCTTCTTAATGATGTCAACAAGCTTACAAACTCGTAGATGTTGGGGCGGTTATGACCAAACTTTTTCAGCTCAGAGTGCCACTCTTCCCAGTGTTAGTGGTCCTGGAACCAATAGTGTCAAACAGGTTCTGCACAATACGTCCATCAGATTCAACTGTTCAGCAACATTGTCACTGAATTTCAGAACTCTGTCATGATCAAGGATTTCGAAGGTGAACGAGGGGAAAGGCAGACGCATGTGGATTTACTCTCAGGTTATTGTTGTCCGAAGTTCACATTTTTGTGTATTTCATATACTAATTGAACAGAGTTCACCTGCACATGTCCACTTTAGTGAGACAGACTGTAACCAAAAATGCAATGAGCTGTAGCTCTCAATCCCTTATAACAACGACAACAACAACCAGGGTGAGGGCACAGTAAGGTTAAACAGTGTCCACCAGACAATCTCAGGTGGCTAACGCCATATCTCCCATCAAGTCAGCTCTATTTTTCAGCGCATAATTATTTTTATTACATTTTGAATAAAAGGAATTTAAAAAATCATATTTAACAAACCTACACATTACCAAATACAAAACTTTTTAACCCTTTCTAGACTTCGTTCCAATTAACCTGGATCATCCAACTCGCTCGCGAAGGTCGTATACGACTTTAAAGTGAATACATCTACAGTGTACAAGTAACTTTAAATGTAACATATATACTCATGATAAGCAATTATTTTCGTTCCTAATTCAAATGAGCACATTCTGGGGCTAAATCTGAAAAAAGGACAGACAAAATATTTCTTTGTACAGTGCAAACGATACAATCGTAGCGGCTGATAAAAGAGACAATGACTTAATAATCTGCAATATATCATTTGTTCTCGTTTACTCTAGTGTACATATTGAAGTGATTGTAAAGTTTCAAGGAGTACTAAAATGTGGTGGTATTATGAATGAATTTAGAATATGAATAGCGAAAAACAGTCACCATATGGGATGTACATGTATAACTTGTCTTCCAGCACCACGCTTGTGCCGAGGCCCGTGGTCATAAAACTAATCGGTCCCATAAAAGGAGCAATAATCCCACTGTACTTGCTATGGTTCACTCCCAATTGTCAGACGGCCTAATTATAATCATCTGACAGAGCAGTCAAGTGTGACCAGTGTACCTGCCTGGTCTTACCTCCTAATTACTGAGCTGCCCAATACTGTCATACTCTGGGCAGAGTAAGCTACTCCAACTCGTTGAGTGATAGAGAATAACCAGATTATGATTTTGTTTGTAAGTTGCGTTTGATCTGTGTCGGGTTGCAGTTGCTTTATTAGGCAAGACCAGGGGTAGATTTTTCAATGAAACCTTTCAACCGCTGAGTTTGTGTTGCATTCATTTCATTAAATACATTGTTAGGTAGAATAATAACACGTTATATAGATTAAACATCTCCCTTACCTGTGTATAATCTCACATGTACTCTAAGTACCGTACTATCTTACTTTGAGGAGACATTGAGTAGGCATTGTATGCAGTCGGAATGACTTTACGCAAATCCCTGTGTCAATGGACCCGTGAAGATCCAGGGTAGAACAGATCTTCAACAACCCATTCTTGGCGTAAAATGGCGACAGGGCATGTCGTAAGAGGCGACTACCGGGATCGGGTGGTCAGCTTCGCTGATCTGGTTGATGCATGCATGTCACCGTATCCCAATTGCGTGGATCGATGCACATGATGTCAGTCACTGGATTGTCTGGTCCAGACTCGATTATTTACAGACCGCCGTCATATAGCTGAAATATTGCTAAGTGCGGCGTTAAACAACTAACAAACAAACAAAATTTTGAGGAATTCACAACAATCACTATGGCGAGGTATGCATATCTTGCAATCAACTTGAATCCAGTTACTGGAATGTCAAACCCGGGCTTGGTTAAAACAAGAATTGTAGTTAGATCCGCTACATGTTGTAGATCTCCTGTATTCAAGAGATGCAATATATAGCGAGGCAGCAATGTCAGTTTATGAGGGACAGACAACTACTCGAACATATATAAACAGAGCAGCCAAAGATAAAAAATGAAATCATATCATGTACGAAAATAGAAATCATATCAACACAAAAAGAGAAAGTGTATGAGTACTAAAACTTGCAATAGATTTGTGTACCCTACGTACACACATGAGTCCCATTCGATAGTCTACAACACACGAATAACTGTCAAGCAAGTTTGGGTACCCCTTGTGTTCAGGCAAGTTATTTAATTCAATAATTTTGTATTAAATCTATTTCAATTTGTTTTCACGATTTTCCCAATTCCATTCCATGCATGTTTATATTGCTACATCTTATTGCACATGTTCCCAAGTATTATAAAACACTTTAATGACTCTCCTTCCTAATCTTACGTTAAAATATTTCAGGTCATTACCATCATCTAATACACAAGAGATGATACCAAGACATATTTAATTCGGTTTTATGGTCTATGCGGTCTTACAATTGATTTAATTAGTCTTTAAATCTTATTATGTCTAGTACATATTTTCACAAACAGGGCTGTTAGCTGATATAAGAAAGGTAACATCCTGTTGAATTCCAAGTTGACGTATTTACTTCTTTTTTTTTATCAAATATGAGGACTTAACGAAGTTTCTACAATTACTATTTTGAATAAGCCGTTGATATGCCAGTTGTGACAGGCCTAGGGACGATGGTATGGTAGCTGTAGCAGACAGATTGACAGTCGTTGTTACGTGGTGTCACTAGGTAATTAGTACGGCATTGACCTTGTTGATTGTTACTATACTTTGAGGATTTCTGTGGCCAGTGTCGGACGTAATTCAAACTCCTTCCACACTGACACTGCATCAAATATATTTGTGTACCAATTACATAACTCTTACGGACAGGGTGGGGTGGTAGTTCACCGGACGACACTGTTTATTCATGCGTGGTGTGGTAGATCGTAATTGACCGAGAGCAGGTATTGTAGAATCACCTGTAAATAATGCCGACACTGTAATTAGATACAACGTACTCATGAGAATATGAGATATATTATAAGAAGGCTGTTGTTACCTGTTACCATGTTCATACCAAAAGTGACAATTCATTTAAAAGTTGCTTAAGTGTCATAATATTCACTCAAGTTTTCCTCAATCGCCGGTAAACATCGCACCGCATATAATGAAATAATTATTTCGAGATTTCGTTAGAATGTGAGATATTCAGCTAGACATTATGCAATGAAAGACGAATCGGGTTTTGTCCCCATTAAAATACGCGCACGTGTACCTGTATAGTGCATATCTAGTGTCACTTAATTTCCCAGTGTGATGTATCAACGAGACATAAAATGGGAAATGAAAAAGAAACAAACTAAAATAACGCCGATGAATTGGTGTGCACGCGCATTAATTCGTATGATAAACTGTCAAAACGTTTGGTGAAATATTTTAATAACGCCAAAAATTAGTTGAATTAAGTTAAAATGAATTGAATCATGTGTCATGCTTATAATCCCTTAATGTATTTGCAAAAATTAAAACTGTTGAGCAAAGGAAAATATGCTCGCCCATGGGCCAAACCTTTTTCTCGCCCATGGGCGAAATATTTCAATATCGCTATAAAATCGATGAATTAAGTTAAAATGAGTTACGTTTTTGTGTCATGATACTTGAAAGATATACATATTCTCGCCCATGGGCCAAACCTTTCCTCGCCCATGGGCGAAATATTTCAAAATCGTTATAAAATAGTTGAATTAAGTTAAAATGAGTTAAATTTTGTGTCATGATACTTGAAAGATATACACTTATGTATTTGCGAAACAAAAACATGATTTTTCAGTAAAGGAACATATTCTCGCCCATGGGCCAAACCTCTTTCTCGCCCATGGGCGAAATATTTCAGTATCGCTATAAAATAGTTGAATTAAGTTAAAATGAGTTAAATTTTGTGTCATGATACTTGAAAGAAATACATTTATGTGTTTACGAAACAAAAACATGAGTTTTAAGTAGAGGGACATATTCTCGCCCATGGGCCTGCCCATGGGTCAAACCTTTTTCTCCCCTATGGGCGAAATATTTAAATATCGCTATAAAATAGTTGAATTAAGTTAAAATGAGTTAAATTTTGTGTCATGATACTTGTAAGATATACATTTATGTATTTGCGAAACAAAAACATCAGTTTTAAGTAAAGGAACATATTCTCGCCCATGGCCTTACCCATGGGCCAATCTTCGCCCATGGGAAGGCCCATGGGCGACATAGTGTAAATATTGAGTTTTTGAACACTTTTTTTTTCATTTTTTCTTCCTTGGTATGTTCCCATGAAAATAGCATGTTTAATTTTGTAAATACCTTTGACCGAGACTGGGAAAAGACCGTAAAGTTTCTGGACTTTTGGGTTTCCAGAATTAAAATGGGACGTGTTCATGGTATTAAGTCCTTCCTTGATGGTAATAAGGAGTATAGAGAGATAGTTTATTAAGTATTGAAGGCCTCGTGGCCAAGAGTACAATTTCTTTCATATAGCATGAGTACGATATACTAATAAGGAGTATAATTAATCTTTGAGACAGGGATTTGGTAGTACATTCGCTGGCCCAGCGATATATCTTTCTTTGTATGGATTTGTATGGAGCTTTGTAATCAAGTACAAAAAATCGCTGTGTCTTTAGGTTTTAAAGTCAAATAAAAAGTTGATGGACCTGATGCGTTCTTAACATACTAGCTTTAAATGTAGCCTTATTTGATATGTCAGTTGTACCAATTCGTGATAACATACATGGTCCTGACGTAGAAGGGAGGAATCTGGGATTTGAAACCATGGAGAGCGACACGCGGACCACTGGGCCACCCGAGCCCCCAGTTACTTGTACATTAAGCAGCTTGAGACATTGTTGAAATAGCTAATGCCAAATTTGCGCGTGTTATATCGAGAGTGAAAATTCAACAGTATGCCAATTCGAAGAGTTAATCTCTTTTAAAATTACCTTTCGTATCTCCTACCAGAATCAGCACACCGTGCATGCACGCAATCCAAGTACACATTCCGCGCTCCATCTCGACTGACTGTGAACTGCCCTGTTTGCATTTTCCTATTCCCTATTTAAAGTAATGAATTTGAATAATTTCCGCCTACATCTAATTTATAAGCGAAATCTATTGACTGTTTAATGCATGTGTTTGACATGTATGATTTGTGTGTGAGAGAAGGAAAGAGAACGTTAAACATATCAGTCGAACGCTTCAGCACTTTGGGGGCGGTAGGGTAGCCTGGTGGTTAAAGCGTTCGCTCGTCACGCCGAAGAACCGGTTTCGATTCCCCACATGGGTACAATGTGTGAAGCCCATTTCTGGTGTACCCCGCCGTGATATTACTGGAATATTGCTAAAAGCGGCGTAAAACCATACTCACTCACACACTTCAATACTTAGAGTACATAGAAAAGGACTTTTCGAATCCAATGGTTTATCACCGATAAGTATTCCTTATCACACAATGAAGAACAAATGGCGAGACTCAATGATAATCATTAACTAGATGATAGAAACCACTGCCAAGGATAATATAAATTTGACATACAGTAAACTTTTTATGAACTCATTGTATAATTCATCTGATTTATCATGCAAAAGCATTGTACTCATTCAGTAAAAGCAGTGGTTATATATGACAGACATCAGTACCAACAAGAAAAGTTTGACATCAAATAATAGATGTTTGGTCAGTTTTGTCACGCATTCTGTGTTGGTTGCAAGCACAGATTTTAAATCAGTTTATTTCCTTGAAAACGTGTGTTTGACAGCATATGTAAAGCCTTTCTCTTTCAAATTGAGTATGCATTCACAGCAGCTATAAAACAAGCAAATGCAAATTCCTGGTACTATGGTGTCTCTGTTGTTATGTGATGCTTGCCATTTTGGAAGGCAGCTGATATCTTGTCGTTGAAGACGGTTTGGATAGCTAAGTGGTCAACGCAGTACCGTAACACTCAGATAAATCTAGTTTGATCCCAAGTAACTGAAAACTCCCATATTTTAACATAGACGTTGTGCTAGTGATGTACGTAGAAATTACAGGCAATATCCTTTTTGGCAAAATGGCCTTACATTGCAATTATGCCAAACCATGGATTACTAGATGCACTAGATTAGATCTCTCAGCTGACAATGTGTCACTATTGATATACTGTAAACTACGGTTATAACGAACACAAACGGAGCATTACTTTTAGTTCTTTATAATCGTAGTTCGTTGTCAGCACATATACGGCATATATACAACAAATGGCCGGGACCCAAAAATCAGTTCGTAAAATCCATCAGTTCGTTATAAGCATGTTCTTTATAAAAGTAGTTTACATTTAAAAGGACATGAACGGTACACATTCGGTTTGGTTTTTTGAAGACATCTGTAGTGTCAAATACCACTAACAAGAGTACACCTGTTCTGTGTGTCTTGTTCTCATATCAAAATATATTCACTGTGTGTGAAAGAGCTTGAATTAACCTGTTTGAAATGTAGTTACATGAGGGCTTGATGTAGGACGCAAGACCGATGTGGTAGAAGTCTAGACCTTTACTTCAACTTCAAGCACTGGTATGGTGCTGACAAGCCTGGGCGAATTATCAAGCCGAATCTGGGATTTAAACCAGTGATTAATGGCACGCGTAAATGACCTAACTTACTTTCATATGTATTCTTCAATTATTGGAATAAATAAAGAATGTCTGTTGCTGACAAGCCTGGGCAAATAATCAAGTCGAATCTGGGATTTGAACCAGTGATTAATGGCACGCGTAAATGACATAACTTACTTTCATATGTATTCTTCAATTTTTGGAGGAAATAAAGAATGTCTGTCTGTCTGTTGCTTACAAACCTGGGCTAATAATCAAGCCGAATCTGGAATTTGAACCAGTGATTAAATGCACACCTAAGAGACATAACTTACTTCCATATGTACTCTTCAGTTATTGGAGGAAATAAAGAATGTCTGTCTGTCTGTTGCTGAGAAACATGGGCGAACAATGAAGCCAAATCTGGAATTTGAACCAGTGATTAATGGCCAAGTAAGAGACGTAAATCTGCATAACGAAGTTCCGTAGCCTCATATGACTGAGCCATGTTTCTCCAAGAGAAAAGAGAACTGCAAGGGTGATGTCAAGAGAAGACTCTGTGTGTTCAACAACATGGTATCACAGTCACTCGTATCGTTTTACCTCGTTATGATTATTTTAGTACAATCGTTCTTAAACACGTGAAGGAGTCGATATGCTTCCCTGTAGATATGTTCAAGGGGTCGGCGAAGCAGTGGAATTTCATTTCCGTTAAATAGCAGGACTATAACTGTCCGATTTGATAAACAAGAAAATATATTGTTAATATTATTTACCCCAAACAAAGTGGCCAAAGTATGTGAACTTCCGAACTGTTTGAGGTTCTGTAATGTATTGGATTATTAGACATGTCAAGCTAATTTAAACGACAAAATTACGAATTCGTGACTACATTACGTTCATAAAGAAACGCATAGAATATATTTGCTACATAAGTTTCGTAGGATAAATACAACGTGCTGTGGCGAGAGTTTCACAACACAGCCATAAACGCAATAAATGACATAAATGACAGATCATTAATACCAATACGTGTTATGACTGTCGAGAAGAGAATAAACTGTTTCACAAATCCTTCCTTGTAGTTAAAGTATGTTAACAAGCTTCCACTTTGCAAACGAGACATCTTTCGAAATAGCGTCAGAGCACTCTCGTTCACTCGAAAGTGAAAGTAAAAAGGTTCCGTGGCGTTCACCAGTACTTCAATGTATTTTCACCGTTGTGGAATGTGTTGTTGTTGCATTTAGTGTGTAAGAGGTCGCCTTCTGCCTAAGCATTTCCGGCTGACCTGTCCCTCTTTGGGACTCCTGTGTGTGAGTAGGGTACACATGTCTATTGTGAGTTTGGTATGGGGAATGTCAAAGAAACAAGTTATTATTAGGCACAGGTCCAATTTAACATATCCTATTTTCCAGTGTATATCTGCAATTCTCTCACATGCTATCTATAGTTTTCCAAGAGTGACACGCCCATTAGAACATGGTCAGTCACATGTTTTTTCAGAAATCAAGGTGCTTATGAGGGGCGCAATGCGAACTTCTCCCGTCCACTCAATGGGTTACTCCCATATCGCCTACACGCCTATTCGCCTACTCTCCAATACGCCTGCAGGTTTAATGTAGGCGATTGGACACACCCCTATATAAAAAATAGACTAAAACATGTCACAGTAGATAAGACTACGGAAATTGACTGTTCCTACAGCTCTATCTCACAGTAAAAGAGATTATATTACAGATTGTTTTGTGATCTCAGGTTCCCAGGCTGTTAACACAGGTTCAAAACAACATGTGATGCTTATCTGCAGAAAATGATGTTCTTTTTATGTAATTAATTTAATTCTCAATTAAGGTTTTCAAAAAAGGGTTATACAATATGGGCCCATGTGCCAAATAGATATTCATGGAAATGAAAAAGCGGATATACAGCCTATTCCCTTGAGTGACTAGGGATCAAAATCAAAATCAAAGTCTCTATAGCAGAAAGATGGCAAGCCCAGTGGGACGCAAGTAAGATGGCTATACAAACTTCAACCCAAGGTCCAACAAAAGCCAAACTCATACTCAAATGAAAGGAAAATTGAAATTGCCATCTCACACCTCAGACTCGGTCACAAAAAAGCACTATGACAAGGTTCGTTCATCTTGCAATCAGGCTGAAACCATTGCCCACGTGTTACTAGAATGTCAAGACCATGCCGCAGGCAGGGCGAGTTTAAAACAAGAATTGCAGTTAGATCCACTATCTGTCATAGATCTCCTGAAGCCAAGAGATGCACTAGCGAAGGCCAAACTAACTCTATTTCTGAGAGATGGACAGCTACTCGAACGTATATAAACAGAGCAGCCAATAATAAAAATGAAAATATATCAATATAACAAAATAGAAATCATATCAATACAAAAACAGAAATTCTGTGAATACCAAACTTGCAATAGATATGTGTACCCAACTCACACACAGGAGTCCCAAAGAGGGACAGGTCAGCCGAAATTGCTAAGGCAGAAGCCGACCTATTAAACACTTAATGCAACAACAAAAGACGCAGAGGTCAGCCGAAATGGCGACTTCTTAAGTGAGTGAGTTAGTGACTGAGTAGGTTGGGTTTAACGCCGCTTTTAACAGTATTCCAGTTATATCACGGCGTGTCAGCTTAATGTGGGAGGAAAGCCCGAAGTGATGCAGGTCTCCAACGTTTACCACTTCGGTGAAACCCACAGAGCACGGGTATGGTGCTGACAAACCTAGAAACATAATCAGGGCGAACCGGGATTCGAACCCACAATCTTAGGTTTCTGGCGCGACCAAGGGGCGCAACTCGGCACAGCGAATCGCGGCACCTTAGACGACTGGGCCACCCGTGCCCCGCGACCTCCTAAACACTTAAAGCAACAACAACAACAACAACAACAACAACATGTATTTCATTTTCACTATGAAGAACCTTCAGCGAGTTGAATACATAACTTCACAGCGTGGTGGTGAACACGTCTAACATGATGGGTTTTGCTATCGTTTCAACGTCCGCCGTCAACTGGCTGAAACTACCCCTCCCTCGTTATAATTATTGGACAAGTGCCGTGTAGTTCAACGCTTATTGCGCTTGTTTGTTGTCCAAAGTAACAGCTTATATGATTTAGGGTAGAGTGTCCCTGAACTCAATTCCGTCACATCCGAGGAGCTGTTTTCTCAAAACTTTAGCAATGTTTAAACGTTTCCCTGTGACGCAACAAGTGTTTGAATGAAGCACATCACAATTTGGAACTGGCTTCCAAAAATAATAAATATTCAGGATGTCCATGCGTTTCACGTAAAAAAAAGCCACCTGTGCAATTCATCCATGTTAAACTCTACACTGGTTAACATTTGTCCTGTCCCGGCAGACAAAATATATACCTTACGTAATTAATTGACTAAACGAGGACAAGGACGTTGCTCATAAAATCAACCACTGGTTTGTGTGATCCAGACTTGATTTGCTACATTCCGTCATGACGTAGCTGGAACATTACTAGCTGTGGCGTTATACGTCTGGATGCCGAGTTATTTTTCTGACGCACATTTTTATAAGATCAGAACAATGAAAGTATGTTGGAACTGCTCTCGCGCGGCGCAGGGACTACCTCCGACAATAAGTTTACGTCAGAAATGAAGAATATAAAATTTCTTTTTGATGGTTGAAATTTAACTGCCAATTTGAAACAGGTTTGAAAAAGAGACACCAAGTGGTGTCCGTGATTTTGTAATGCGTAAAAAATCAGCAAATTTCGTGACTTTTTATCGGACACTGATCAAGTTACTGTGCAATATATCTAACATATACACGCCTTAAAATAGTTGAATTAACTTAGAATGAGTTAAATTATGTGACATGAAACTTCTAAGAACACCTGTATGTATTTGCGAAACAAAATCGTGAGTTTAAAATATAGGAGCATACCCATGGGCCACTCTTCACCATACTGTTAATATTGAGTTTTTGAACATTTTGTTTTCATTTTTTCTTCCTTAGTATGTTTCCCATTAAAAACAGCATGTTTAATATTGTAAATACCTTTGACCAAGACTTTGCAAAGACCGTAGAGTTTCTGGACTATTGGGTTTCTAGAATTAAAATGGGACGTGTTTTAAATATTGTCGTAAGCTTAAACTAATTTTCAATCCAGAGACTGATATCCTGAGCATGGATCTACGCAAATGGGATACGATGACATGAATCAATCAAGTTTGAGAGCCAGACCACCCGATAGTCGCCTTTAACAACAAGCTTGGGTTGCTGAAGACCAACTCTAACTCACGTCTTCACTGGGGTTCTCCATGGTGGAAAAGTCTAGGTTCTACATCCCTTTCTTCCTACAACGATCTACCACGTCGTGTTGAAAATGAAATACAGCAAACTATGGTTATAACGAACTCAAAGGGATCTCTAATTTTAGTTCGTTATAACCGTAGGTCGTTATTGGCATATATACAGCATATATACAGTGACCAAAAAATGAGCTCGTTATATCCGTTAGTTCGTCATAAGCGTGTTCGCTATAAACGTAGTTTACTGTACTGCGCAAAGCACAGGTTCAAGTGAGAAATGACCTGAACCGTGAATTCCCATGTTAGAATCATCATATTGCATATTGTTATGCATTTACTGAAAGGGGCGTCTATACGTATGGATTGACGCGAGCAACGACGCGCTGATACTGATACAAACCTGATAAGGGATGCACAAGCAGGTGATATCTCCCAAGCATCAGATCTCCAGGGCGACATGATCAAATCAGCACCGCTCCAGCAACTATACCCGTCACTGCACGTCATCAGCCTATCGGCCATATTCCAATACCCCTGGGCAATCATTACCGCGAGATAAGAGATTATCACATATCACCAGCTGACCACTCATATATGACCACTCATAAACACTATATAAGCATGGATATTAACTGACTTCAAACTATTATGTTCCATCACTCCCACTTTAAGGAATCTGACAAGACGTCTCCTCGCGTGTTCTTCATATTATAGAGGTAGGCAAACCTACAGGTTAGTTTCCTTTGATACCTTTTCGGAAAGACATTTGTCGGCAGGTATTTACTGCTAAATGATACATTAACCGAAACATTAATTGTATACATCTATATATTTTTTGTCATTATTGAACCATCAGGCCCGTAAAGATCAGGGGTAGAATATTTTGGTCTTCAGCAACCCATGCTTGCTCTACAAGGCAACCATGCTTGTCGAAAGAGAAGACAAACGGGATCGGGTGGTCAGGCTCGCTGACTTGAAGCATGGCATCGTAACCCAGATGCGTGGATCGATGCTCATGATGTCAATCATTGGAATGTCTGATCCAGACTGGATTATTTACAGTCCGCCGCCATATAGCTGGAATATTGTCGAGTGCGGCATTAAACATCAAACAAACAAACAAATATTACGTATCAGTGAATGTATTTATATGCATGTACGCTATTGTTCGTCGCAACTGTTTCTAAATCCCTTAGGGATGGACTGTCTGCTCTAGTTGTAGAGCGTCCGCCCGGAGAGCGGAAGGTCCGGGGTTCGATCCCCGGCCGCGTCATACCAAATGACGTTAAAAGATGGTACCTGTTGTTACCCTGCCTGGCGCTCCGCATTAAGGGGCTAAAACAAGGACTGGTCGGCTCGGAGTCAGTATACTGTGTCTGAGTGAGGTATTCATGTTAAACTGCGGCATGGTATCTCAGTTAGCTAGCACTATAAATCAGCATCAGTCCGGACTGGTACAAACACACACACACACACACACACGTACATGCACGTCGCCATATAAGTGCAATAATCTTGGACGCGACGTTAAACCCCATTTCACCTAACCTCACTTTAGGGTTGATATTTTTCATCTGTATTTCCGATCAGTTTTTTTAGGGTGTGTATCATGTTTTCTGTCATACAAACTAATCATGTCTGACATGGACAAATATTCAAATTCAGGCGAGGAACTTTGTCGGAGATCATCTTTATAGTTTCGACTTCTGTACCGAATGTCAACAATGTGGTATTCAATACACAATAGACCTAAAGTAATTTAGTCCATGAATATTTTGCCAGACATCAAGTTATCAACATCAAGATGATGATGAAGAAGTCCTGTAGTGTAGCGGCAGTCCTGCTTGTGATGGTCATACAGTCGGAAGGTAAGTAGTGGGTTTATTAAATAGTATATTATTGAATTCCAAATTTTCACAATCTTAAATGCCTACTGTATGAATGTGGGTATGGTTACATCTGGGACAACCTATGTTTCTTAGAGAATCATGCAATGTTCATAATCGAAAATAAGGCAGACGCTATTTGACATGTACTTTCAAACATGGAGATCTACGTTAGATATTTCTAGCAAATGTGAATATTATAGATATATTAAAAGGCAAATGTGCGCAGAAAGTTATTTAACTGATGTAAATATAAGAAAATGCAGAATATCATTAACACAATTTAGATGCAGCTCGTACAGGTTAATGGTTGAAGGTGGCAAGCACCAAAAAATACCAAAATGTTTAAGATTATGTAGACAATGTTCTTTAAATGTCGTCGAAGATGAATTTCACTTTTTACTATGTAAATATGAAAATTTAAGGAAACAATATATTGAACATAAATATTATGTACATCCAAATAAATTCAAGTTTATCCTTTTAATATCACATATCACGAAATCTATCTTTATATATCATGCCATGTTATTAGGAAATGAATCCTTGTAATATGTTTAACCGCTTCCACGGTGTCATGTATTCTGTACTATGGGCCTGTGGCCTTACAGTTATACATGAATAAACTGAATTGAATTCATACACACCAACTTTAACAAGCTTGAAACAAAAAGGTATGAGTTGAAAAATGCGAGTTATCTTCCCCGTGTAATTTTACGAGGGCCCTGAACCAATGCTGGAGATGTACCAAATTTAAGGAGATACTGGACAAGACAAGACTTACTTAAGACTGGAACACCATGTGACCCTTTTGCCCCGGACACCACTGTTATTACTATCTCCTACGTAGTCCTAAGTAGGAGATACTAAGTCCTACGTAGGAGATAGTAAGTCCTACGTAGGAGATAGGAAGTCCTACGTAGGAGATATTAATTCTAGGCCATACTAAGTCCTACGTAGGAGATAGTAATTCTAGGCCATACTAAGTCCTTCGTAGGATAAACTAAGTCCTACGAAGGAGATACTAAGTCCTACGTAGGAGATAGTAAGTCCTACGTAGGAGATACTAAGTCCTACGTAGGAGATAGTAAGTCCTACGTAGGAGATAGGAAGTCCTACGTAGGAGATATTAATTCTAGGCCATACTAAGTCCTACGTAGGAGATAGTAATTCTAGGCCATACTAAGTCCTACGTAGGATAAACTAAAGCCTACGAAGGAGATACTAAGTCCTACGTAGGAGATAGTAAGTCCTACGTAGGAGATACTAAGTCCTACGTAGGAGATACTAAGTCCTACGTAGGAGATAGTAAGTCCTACGTAGGAGATAGTAATTCTAGGCCATACTAAGTCCTACGTAGGAGATAGTAATTCTAGGCCATACTAAGTCCTACGTAGGAGAAACTAAGTCCTACGAAGGAGATACTAAGTCCTACGTAGGAGATAGTAAGTCCTACGTAGGAGATACTAAGTCCTACGAAGGATATACTAAGTCCTACGTAGGAGATACTAAATCCTGCGTAGGATATATTAATTCTAGGCCATAATATGTCCTACGTAGGAGATACTAAGTCCTACGTAGAAGATACAAAGTCCTACGTAGGACAAAAATTAAGTCCTACGTAGGACATACTTAAACGAAAAGAAAATTCTTCGCGGCCCTAGAACGCTTCCGCAGTTTCGAGAATCCATTGTTTCGCTGACATTGTTAACAAAGAAGAAAGTTTGTAAATAAACCCTATTCTTTCTTGAAATACAAATTGTGACGTCTGCGTTCTTGACATCTGGCGTCCAATGATATCAACATTTAATATCCAGGGAATGTTAGTTAAATTACAGACGTTACCCATTTAAGGAGCTCGGAATAACAAATCAGGTCTTTTGAACACTGATGAGTAAGTGTAAGAACTAGAACAAAACTCATTTTAAACTATCTGTTACTGACTTGTCGTTTTCTACATGACAAACGTCTGTAGCTATATACCAAGGAACCATTTGCCTATACATGTACGTCCTAATATTGACAGACTCTAAGAGGAAATTCGATTAAACTCATACACTCCCGTCAACAAATCTTTAAGCAAGGTAATATGTTATTCACGTGTTGTATCCTTTCTTTTCAGCCGCCGCCTGCGTGAACAGCACCGACTGCGGCGTCAACGCCAACTGCGCCAACTCCACCTGTGTATGTGATCCTGGGTATCAAGGAGATGGCGCCACCTGCACCAGTGAGTATCATAAGCGGGGTGACTTTCAGAGTATAGTACTGATCAGGACTTCTATTAATTCAAATTGGTACATTCTGAAGAGTTGTGATTGCCCGCTACTCATGCTTATCTGGAATATGTACATCATAAGAGTGACAAACTTGACACTTCGGTCTAAATAATAATTTGACCGTTTTCTTATGTAAACAATTTGCCGCTGATCATTTACTTCCTTAACCCAAATGTAAAGAACGAATGAAAAAATATCCGCACTTGACCAAGTGAGGCGAGGTGAGGTGAAATGGGGTTTAACGTCGCGTCCAAAATTATTGCGCATGGACGTGTGTGTATGTGGCTCCTTGAACTAGTCCGGACTGATGCCGATTTATAGTGCTAGCCCAATGAGAAACCATGCCGCAGTTTAACATGAATACCCCAATACTGATTTCGATCCGACCAGTCCTTGTTTTAGCCCCTTAATGTGCCAGACAGGGTAACAACAAGTACCATCTTGTAACGTCTTTTGGTATGACGCTGTCGGAGATCGAACCTCGGACCTTCCGCTCTCCGGGTGGACGCTCTGCCACTAGAGTTCGGAGGCGGTCTCACTTCACCAAGTACTTTCTGGAACATTAGGTAGTTTGGTTATTAGTGCGAACAAAAACTTCTTATCAACATATCATGACGGACAAACATGACATCGAAACTCGGCAAAGTTATAACTTATTGGTTTTGACCTTTGACGTCCTTGACCTTCAGCTATATGCAGCATGCTGGACTTCCTGCTGGGGGTCGGGTTCCGCGCCCTGCCAGGAGACTGTAGTCGCTTTGTCCAGTGTGACGTCACAGTACCCATGGTGCAGTATTGTGGCTACGGCACAGTGTGGAATGACGTAATCAAGACGTGTGTGAGACCAAGGGACGGCAACTGCAGTGAGTATTTGAACCAAACACGTCAAAAGTCACCTCCGACTGTGGTTTCAAATTCAATGAGATACACGCACAGTTATATTATATATTATTTCCAAAAATAATACTTTTATAAGGCATATTGACTCCAATGAACACACAACACCAAGGTCAGGTTAACGTTGATTACATTATATTTATGATAATCGTATAATTTTAAAGTTTATTTTTGACTGCATAAAAGAGAGCTATATTTCATAATATTCTGTTTCTCACGATGACGTCCTGTTTTCCAGATAAGTGCAGTGGACAGGCTGACGGCGTCGAGCTGCCCTACCCCCTCTTGTGCAACTCCTACTGGCAGTGTCAGGGTGGGGTGCCACGTGCCATGTGTTGCCCTGTCAACAACACCTTCGTGGATGGATCGGGGTGTGTCAGTGGGTCATGTGCTGACACCTGTCCTCCTGCCCAGGCTAATTACACAGCAGGTAAATTCACATTAATATACTCCTGTCAAAGCTAATTACACTGTAGGTAAATTCACGTTTATATACTCCTGTCCAGGTTAATTACACAGCAGGTAAGTTCACGTTAATATACTCCTGCCTACGCTAATTACACAGCAGGTAAATTCACGTTGATATACTCCTGCCCTGGCTAATTAAACAGCAGATAAATTCACGTTACTATATTCCCGCCTACGCTAATTACACAGCAGGTAAATTCACATTAATATACTCCGGCCTAGGCTAATTCCGCAGCAGGTAAATTCACATTAATAAACATGTTCTCCTGTCAAGGCTAATTACACAGCAGGTAAATTCATGTTACTATACTCCTGTCAAGGCTAATTACACTGCAGGTAAATTCATATTAAAATACTCCTGTCGAAGCTAATGACACAGCAGGTATAGTCACATGAATATACATCTGCCAAGGATAATTACATCTCAGGTAAATTCACATTAATATGCCCCTGTCAAGGATAATTACGCAGCAGGTAAATTCGTGTTAATATACTCCTGCCAAGGTTAATTACACAGCAGGTAAATTCACATTAATAAACATGTACTCCTGTCAAGGCTGATTACACTGCAGGTAAATTCATATTAAAATACTCCTGTCGAAGCTAATGACACAGCAGGTATAGTCACATGAATATACATCTACCCAAGATAATTACACCTTAGGTAAATTCGCATTAATATACTCCTGCCCAGGCTAATTGCACAGCAGGTAAATTCACAGTAATATGCTCTTGCCCAGACTAATTACAAGGCAGGTTAATTCGTATTGATATTCTCCTGCCCAGGTATATTTTAATTATAGCGAATTTCACTGCAGGCATAGTGTTATTAATATACGCATGTCCAGGTTTTGCACACAACAGGCACAAACTGGCTTTTTTAACACTAACAGAGTCTTTATCTTGATATGCCTCTGCCATCACACAGATCCATGTGAGTTTGCGCCCTCTAGCGACGGTCCCGAGTTCTACATGGAGACGGTGCCCGGATTTGGCCTCATCAGGAGGGACTGTCCCCCCGGCACCAACTTCAAC